ACATTGGCTTAGTCATGGAGATCGCTCGTACCTCCATGATCCATGCGGCTGCCCCCCATTTTCTGGGGCCGTTTGCGGTCCAGTACGCCGCGCATCAGCTCAACCTTTGGCCCCGTGTCTCCTTGCCGGAGACCTCGCCCACACTGCTGTGGACGGGAAGGTTGGCGACGCGTCGCGTTTCCGGGTCTGGGGTGCTCGTGCCTTTGTCCGCGACACCACCGCGGACAAGCTCTCCCCTCGCGCCATTCCTTGCGTCTTCCTTGGCTTTGTCCCTGACGCGCCTGGCTGGCAGTTTTACGACCCCGCCTCGCGCCGTGTCTTTGCATCTCAGGACGTCATCTTTGACGAGTCGGTCACCTTTTACCGCCTCTTCCCCTACCGCACTGCTCCTCGCCCACCCCCCCCCCCCCGCCCCTCTTTCTCGCCCCAGGTCCTCCCCAGGTAGACTCCCTCCCCGCGCCAGGTCCTGCTCCTTAAGGTGTCTCTCAGGTAGACCCCCCCGCGCCTGCGCCTATTGAGGTCACTGGTGACTCCGGTCCTGCTGGGAGTGGTTCTGTCCCTAGGGGTGCGGAGCTTGGGGGTGCTGAGTCTGGAGGCGCTAAGCGTTTGGAGCCTGCAGGTGTTGAGCCTGCGCGTGAGGAGCCTGGTGGTGCTGTGTCTGGGGGTGCTGCGTCTGGAGGTGCTGCGTCTGGGGGTGCTGAGCCTGCGTGTGCGGAGCCGGGGGGTGCTGAGTCTGGGGGTGAGTCGCTTGAGGGTTCTGAGACTGCTGTTACGCGTTCTCCTTGGAGTAGCCGTCTTCGTCGACGTGTGCCCCTCACCTCCTAGCAGCTACACGACTGGTACGGTCGCCGTCAGCGTCGCGCTTCTGCACCTCAGGGCTCTTCTGCTGGGGGTTCTTCTGATGGTGTCGCTGGTCCCGGAGGTGCTCGTACTGGGGGTACTGGAGCTGCTGGGGCTGGCGGTGTTGTGACTGAGGGTACAGGAGCTGCAGAGGGTACTGGAGCTGCTTGAGGTACTGGAGCTACTGGAGGTACTGGAGCTGCTGGAGGTACTGGCGGTGTTGGAGCTGCTGAGGGTACTGGAGCTGCTGGAGGTGCTGGAGCTCCTGAGGGTGTTGGAGCTGCTGGAGGTGCTAGAGCTGCTGGAGGTGCTGGAGCTACTGAGGGTACTGGAGCTGCTGGAGGTGCTGGAGCTGCCGATGCTGGTGGCACTGCTCAGCCGCGCCTGTTCTTCGATCCGCCGTCTCCATCGTCTCAGCCACCACCTGACTCCGCACTTCGCCAGGTTCTCAGTCTTCCCTCGTCTACTGGTCTTCCGTTACAGCCTGCTCACCACTGCTTGCTCCTTCTCCGTACATAGAGCAGACTGGGGGCCTTGCTGAGCGTCGTGAGCCTGCGTCGCGTCCTGTCTCACCTGTCCGTTCTGGTCGTTCCGGTCGTCGTGTTCCTCGTCAACGTCAGCCGGTTGTCTCCGGCCCTCACCTTGTAGTTTGTCGACCTTCCTCTCCTCCGCCGCGTGTTCCTCTGCCATCTCCCCCTGCGTCCTCTCTGCCTGTCATTGCTGACCCTGCGTCTGACCAGTTTCGTGCTGAGCACCCTACTTTCACGCGTCTGCTTGCCACTGTTGCCGCTGACCCGTCGTTTGATTCTATTGCTGTGTCTGCCTTCGTCGCTGAGCTTGTTGACTTTGCTGCTGCCTGTCGTCTCGACTACGCCGCCAGTCTTGTTGCTGAGTCTGAGTCCGTCTGTCCTCCGTTCGTCGGGGGTGAGTGTGCTCTTGGCACGGACGTCCTTGAGGATAGGCAGGAGGACCTTGAGTGTCTTGCAGCCGCTGCACCTCATCTCGTGGCCATGCTGCTTGCCCCTGAGGGAGACCCGGATGCTCCAGACATCCCAACCCCACGCTCTTATGCTGAGGCGATCGCGGGTGAATACTCCTGTTAGTGGCAGACAGCCATGGACGCAGAGATGGCATCCTGGAAGTCCACGGGCACCTACGTCGACGAGGTTCCCCCTCCTAGGGCGAACATTGTCAGTGGCATGTGGATTTTCAGGGTGAAGCGGCCGCCAGGTTCTCCGCCTGTCTTCAAGGCTCGTTACGTGGCTCGAGGCTTCAGCCAGCGACAGGGAGTTGACTTCTTCCAGACCTTCTCCCCCACCCCGAAGATGACCACTCTTCGGGTGCTGCTGCACGTTGCCGCTCAGCGTGACTACGAGCTTCACTCTCTTGACTTCAGCATAGCCTTCTTACAGGGCAGCCTGCACGAGGAGATCTGGCTGCGCCGCCCTCCTGGCTTCACTAGGTCGTTCCCTTCTGGTACCCAGTGGAGCCTCCGCCGGCCGGTCTACGGTCTCCGCCAGGCGCCATGTGAGTGGCACGACACACTGAGGACGACACATGCGGCTCTTGGGTTTGCTCCGTCAACTGCTGACCCGTCGCTGTTTCTGCGCACCGACACTTCGCTGCCGCCGTTCTAGATCCTCGTGTACGCCGACAACTTGGTCTTTGCCACTACTGACACTGAGGCTCTCGCCCTGGTGAAGTCGGAGCTGCAGAAGAGACACACGTGCACAGACCTGGGTAAGCTGCGCAGCTATCTTGGCTTGCAGATCACCCGGGACTGAGCACGCCGCACCATCACACTGACTCAGTCACACATGGTGCAGCAGGTCCTTCAGCGCTTCGGCTTCACCTTGTTCTCAGCACAGGCCACTCCTCTTGCTACAGGTCACTCGCTCTCAGCTCCACCTTCGGACGAGTCCGTAGAGCCGAGTGGTCCTTACCCAAAGCTAGTGGGCACTGATGACCTGCACTCGTCCTGACCTTGCGTACCCTCTTGGCCTTCTGGCTCGTTACATGACTCCTAGTCGGCACCGAAAGGTGCACATGGATGCTGCTAAGAGGGTACTACGCTACTTGTGCAGTACATCGGGCATGGGGCTCGTGCTTGGAGGACGGGGTGACGTTGTCCTCACTGGTCACTCGGACACCTCTTGGGTTGACGACCAGGCTACGCAGTGGTCATCACAGGGTTACACCTTGAGCCTTGGTTCTGGTTCAGTTTCCTGGCGTTCTACACGTTCGTCTTCAGTTCTCGGCTCCAGCTGTGAGGCCGAGATCTACGCCACAGCCATGGATGCACAGGAGCTACGCTGGCTCACCTACCTGCTGACCGACTTGGGAGAGCAGCCTCGTTCTCCTCTAGTTCTGTACGTCGACAACAAGGCCGCCATTGCCTTGTGTCAGGAGCACAGACTAGAGCACAGAACGAAGCACATCGCTCTGTGTTACTTTCTTGCTCGAGAGCTGCAGCAGCGTGGCCAGCTTCGTCTTGCTTACGTGGCCACTCGGGCCAATACTGCTGATATATTCACCAAGGCGCTTCCGCCTGGTGATCATCAGCGTTTCTGCACTTTGTTAGGCCTTGTGCCCACGTTTCCTCACTTGCTGTAGGCTTTGTTTGAAGTGTGATCTATATGTATGCCTGCATGCTTGCTCTTGTAGGTAGAAATCACTGTGCTGTTGTTGTTACATATATATCTCTGCATGTTAACTGTCCTTGTGGACTTTTGCTCTTCATGTGAACTGGCCTTGAGGCCTTTTGCTTGTGCTCAGACTGCTTGGTGACGTTGTGATCCACCCTGAGCTTGCTTTGCACTTCCTGCCTTGCCTTGTGACGCTCTGTTCTACCCCACTTTGCCTATGGGTGTGTGTCAAACATATGTTTATATGTTATAGTTTAGGTAGGCTTTTGTGGGGTACTCACTGTGGTGTATAACCCCTTAGGTTTTACTTTTGTACCAAACTTCTCGATAGTTGAATCATCCTTGCCTAAGACTTTAACAAAATGTACCCCTCAGAGTACATGGCTAGCTAGGAACTAATTATGTGTGTAATCCTTTGTTTAATCAACTTGGTCATTTACACTCACTATGATCTGAGTTCCTACAACAAGACTTCCGCTACCAACTCTACTAAGCAATTCCTATCCTATCCAAGGTCCTTATTCTAACAAGTCTCATTCCTCTCTTCTCTCACACCCCTCTCATCCCTCTCACCCCTCTCACCCCTCTCATCCCTCTCACCCCTCCCACCCCTCTCACCCCTCGCACCCCTCTCCTCCCTTGCACCTGATCATACGCATCAGAGAGTGGCTTCCTCTATCAACTACACGGGATGCATCCCGTCCTCTCGGATCAGCCCTAACATCCTCTCGGATAGCCATTGCAGGCTAACACTTGAGGCTGGCATGCACAAGATCTCTCGAAGAAGGATCAGCAAAAACAGAAAATAAGTCACTAGACATAGGGTGCAGACGTGGCAGCCATAGAACCAACAATTAGTGATCTGTGAACTACCATAAGAACTTTGAGAATGAACTGAAATCTAAAAAGCGAAGTTTCATGATTGACTGTGTGAGGCTCGTTCTGAGGTGACTTTTGAGTCAACTCAAAAGTCGCTAAGTTTCATGATTGACTGTATGAGGCTCGCTCTGCTGAATGGCTCGAAGAAAGCCACCCTCTACAGAAAAGTGCATGGGTGGGTGAGCTCTGTGCAGAGCTGAAACGCAGAAGCATCGAATGCGCCAGCGAGAGCTACTGAGTAGGAGAACACTATTATATGCGAAACTAATGGGAGAGACAACAACGGTACGGTAAGTGAAACAAACAAAACATCAATACAAGTACAAATAAAAAACATCAATACAACACATCAATATACAAGCATAAATACAAAGCATCAACACATAGCATAACAATCAGCCCTCATGTTCTCTTCTGCTTTACTGTGCTCAGCTGGTCCAGCACCACCAACCCTGTCCTCTTGACAGCAGCAGGCAGCAGCATCAAAGCACCCAAAGGCATGATGATCAGCTGCCCCAGCCAAACACACACCACACTAGGCCCACCGTTGTCACCCCCACTGCTACAGTAGCACCCATCGCCATCCCATTGTTATGGGATTGCCATGCACCACCACAGGTTCACTCCACCCCATGATCACACCACCACATGCTCACACCACCCCATGGCCACACCACCCCATGGCCATACCACCCCATGGCCACACCACCCCATGGCCATACCACCCCATGGCCACACCACCCCATGGCCATACCACCCCATGGCCATACCATTGCCACCATTGTTATCAGCACACACCACCCTTCCTGCTCGTCCCTGCACCCACCTCCCTCACAGATGCAACCCTCAAACCTGGTTCCACTCACCCACTATCCTAACCACCTCCTTGCGTCTTCATTCATCTGGACCCGAACAATCCCACCCCCTCTCCTCGTCAAACTAAATATATGATTGCTAAGCTGTAGTGAGGTATATCTTAGGGGGTACACTATTTCTCTCAACTGTCTTACTTGAATCTCATCCTGCCTAGTCACACTCACCCCCACCTAATTTCGGAACACCTTAAGCAGCTCCGTGGCATCGTAAAACGACTCCAGTTTCGGAGCATTGATGCACAAGCCGCTGGTGCTGCTGCTAACGCCCCTTTCTTTTCCCGCACGAAGGCGCTCCCAAAAAGCAGAATCTTGCGGATCCCCCGGACGATATTTATGATTAATCCCCCCAGTCCTCCCTATACCAATGAAAACGCAACGCAGGCGGCTCCACTCCACACGCACGCCCTCCAGAGGCCAGCTGTACCTCAAAACAAGCATCTCCACGGTAGGCGCTAAGCTGATGAGCAGGTGGGTCAAGGCACGTTGGGATTCAAGATCGGAACATGGAAAACCACGCGACTGGTTTTCTCCATTGGCTGGTCCGTTCAAGTAGACGAATTTGGCGGCAGCCAATGGTAGCGAAGAAACGAGAAGCTGCGAGCGGCCAATGAGAGAGAGCAAGTCGAGAGAGACGCGGCTGTTGCATGTGCAAACCACGTTGAGGCACGCCGCAGTGGCAGAGAAGGACTTCAAAGAGGCAGGGAGGGCGCAGCGGAGGTGGAGCGCTTGGTCCTCAAAGCAGAGCGTGATAGATCGAGCAGCGGTGAACTTGAAATTTAGGGTGGTAGAGCCAGAGCCAAAGCTGGAGGAGGAGAGAGCGAATTCATGCAGCTGCGGTGCAAGGGATGAGAGAAAGGGCAGAGCATTTCTCTCGCGCTCGAAATCGTGGATGCTCAGACTCCTTAAGGCTTGGAACATTGCTGGATTCAGGCTGCCTAATTTCCAAATCCCATGGCCTCCTAGCTCCAGCTTCTGCAGCTGCTCAAACTCCCCCAGAAATTCTGAACGCATCAGCAACTGCCCCGCAGGAATCATTTTTTTGTAAGGTACCTTGAGCCCAAGGGACAAGGTTGTGATGGAGCGCGCAGAGGGACCCAAGAGACGGCCGAGGCAGTGCAGGTCCTGGGAGCTGTTGAGAACGAAATTAAGGGGCGTGTGAGGCGCGTGCCTGAGGAAGACAGAGAGCGTTCCCGAGAGACGTGTGAGCGCGGGGTCTTCGGAGTTGATAGGCAGCGTCATGGGCTCGAAGTCCTGCTCGAACACAGAGTGACAGAGAAATGGACAGAGAGATGGAGAGACAAACACAGCAATTTGAAAGGTGTTAGAGGAGCGACTTTGTGAGTCAACTTGAAATTATGTTGAGAGTTGTTTGGTCTTCAATGGCTCGAAATCTTGCTCACACGCAGCTATGGACACGAAGTTGGTTGAGGAGGCTTAGCCGTGATCGTAACCACTTCATAGATCAGCACCCAGAGAAGAGTTGTACCATGGATTACGGGGAGCAAAGGGAGACTCACGGGGAAGGAGGCGACAAGATAAAGGAGCCTCTTGCAGACCATGGCGCAGCGCAGCAGAGGCCAGCAGGAGCCGAAGGTTCTCGATGCCTCCGCATGTTGCTGCTCCGAGGAGCTACCCCGGTTCCGCAGTTTATTTTTGAGTCGATTCAAAAGTCGAAGGAGACGCGAGGTCCTGCGTCCCTCGTGCAATTCGCCCAGCAGCACGTGGCAGAAGATGATGTGCCAGATGGGGCCGGGCAGCAGATCAACCACGTCCACGATCTGGGTTGGGGATTTTTTCCAAAGATCAGAAAGATATGTATATATAGTGAGAATAAGACTTATCCATTGTCTTTTCCTGAGGAGGATGTGGTGAGAATCGAGGGAATCGAGTAAGAATGGTGTGATGTTTCACTGGCTGCGGCATGACTCTCACCTCATGATGATTCTCGGCATCAGCGGGTGCTGTAAAACTGAGAGCTACCTCATCTCCACGGCTAGCCATCACCGCCAACGATCAGCTACGCAACGGCCGGTGAATAGGCAACAACTGCGTTCGAATACAGGAGGGTTTCGAAAAATGACGACAGGAAATTCATGGAAGCCTTCTGAGCAAGAAGCTTTGTTTGAAACAGCTCTGAGCAAGAAATAGTTCTGATTGAAACAGCTCTGTTCGTTAGGAATCCACCACGAGACTCAGGCAAGCCCCAACTCGAATCTAGCTGCTTTCATGCTAGCAGCGGTAGGCTAGTGGCGGTGAACTGTGTTGTGGTGCTTGCCTTGTGGTGGATTTGTAATGAAATCTGCTGCTGATCCTACACGTCGCTCGGGTTACTCCCCTCCTGTCACGCAATCATGAGGCACTCTCTCCTCCGGACACCTCTGTGACCCGCGCTCTACTGTATCACTATCACTCGCTGCGCCGGCGAGGACAGGCATTTCAAGGACCGCCTGCAGCGCATCGCCGATCGCCCGAGATGTAATTTGTCAGCCAGTTGGAAGGCTGGCCTCGCCTCACAAACACCACAGTGGAGTTTGACAGGGAGATGGAAATTTTGTGGGTTGGCCAAGCAAGACTCGATGGGGTGGTTCTGATCTGATGTGAACTGTTCTGATCTCCCATGACACGACACGAAGACTGGGATAGAAAAATCTCCTTCATTGCCATCGAGCCAATAAGAAGGCTGTAATTTCCCAAGAGTTTGGGCATGGCAACCAATCACCGAGCCCATCGACGCCCAAAATCCACACCTGGCAAAACGGTAACCAGCGCTTTGTGCCCTACTATGACTCGTGAAATTGGAGATTCCTTCCACGTGACAGGCGAGTTTCCGCGTGTCAATTTCCAAATCCCCAGTTCCTCCCTTTCTCAGCGGATGTGGCCGACACGTAGCGAAACATAGTAACTCACAGGAGGGCGAGTGCCGAAATTCGCCACAAGTCTCCCTCACCTTTCCTCCCTAGTTTGTTGACTGTCGCGAAAGTCCAACGCACACATTTCAGAAAGTCGCACACCACACCACACCTTCCTGAGAGAACATTAACTCCTATCACCACCGTCATATGCGCTGCTGGCGTTCGTCCTCGTCAAATCCGTTCTCCCTCATCTCCCTTCCTCCTCAAATTTTCTCGTTCTCAGTTGACTCCGCAATGGCACGCACCGCGAACGCCGTCGCCATACCGCCATGCCTCTCAGGGCAACGGGGATGGGACCGCCATAGGCCAAGATCTGCGACGAGACGCGTTCAGACAATCTCCCATGCGCCGCTCGACTCACAAACTTTTGATCATCCAGGACAGGGTTGAAATAATACTTTCTCGCGGAACCAGACGCTAGTGGTAACCATTCAAGTCGCCAGTCGCTGAAGCCTGTCGCAAGAACAACACGCGTTCCGGTACTGACGCCTAACCGTCATTCGACGTGAGAAAAATCGCTCCTAACATGACGAGCCGTTGCGTTGACATCTGGAGGTGTGCATAGGCCCCTTGTGCGAGCTCTATACCGGTATCCAGGTTCCTTTCCATGAGCTTGGTGGTACCTCAGCTTCAGAACATAGCATAAATACAAAACTTAATACTTAGCATCAATACAAAACATCAATACATTAATATCAGCCCTCTCCTTTACTGTACTTAGCTGGTCGAGCTCCAGCCCTGCGCTTGACAGCAGCCGCAGCAGCAGGCAGCAGCTGAGACACTGTCTCAGTCAGTAGCAGCATCATTAGCTGTCCCAGATGTACAGGCAGCACAGGACCTCAGTGGCACGATGTGCCTTGATGGGACCGCTCCTCTTCCTGCCGCTACCAGCAGGCCGACTGATCAGTGGTCATGTAAGTTGCCAAGGGAACTGCCTGCATTTGAGACGTCTCAAAAGTGATCTGGTGCCTCCATGTGGTTTAGTTGCACTGTTTCCTCTCCCTCCTACTACCACTGGCGGTAGATCTCTTTATCATTGATCTTGCAAATTGCAAGCAAAGGGAACTGCTTTCCCCACCGAAGCACCTCAAGAAATAAGAATATTTAGAAAGCTTGCTTTCTTGTGTTTGCAATGGCAACGAGCTTCGTTTCAAATAGGCAATGGCAATGAGCTTCGTTTCAAATGGGCATTACATCATTCTCGTCCGGGATATATATGGTACCTACATTACACATAACAACATGCAATTTTTGCTAGGGTGGGTGGGTGGGAAATAAGACATTTGAAATTTCAAACGAAGACGTGGGTGGAGGCCAAATGGCCTCTACCCCCTGCTATTTAGTTGGCGAAGAGCATCTAGCACTTCGCCGTTGCCATTGCTGCATTACAAGCAGCTTCGCTTTCAAAATACACATTTTTAGAAAGTGTTACACACTTTTAAAAATTTTCATCTTTTGTGTCGATCAGTTTTTCGTCATCGAAAAAAAAACCCGTCCTCGTCACGGTCCGCACCAATGGTAAGGGCGCACAGGCTGCTCCACTCCGCATGCACGCCCACCAGAGGCCAGTCATACATCATTCTAAGCCTCTCAACTGACGGCGCTATATGGTTGAGCAGGTCGGTCAAGCGAGCGTGGGTGGTTAAATCGTTCCAGTAGACAAATCTGGCGGAAGATATTGGGAGCGAAGAAACGGAGAGACGTGCGTGGCCACTCAGAGAAAGTAAGTCGAGATAGAGGGGGCTGTCACATGTGCAGTGGACGTTGAGAAACTTGGCAGCGGCAGAGAAGGACTTCAAAGAGGGAGCAACGGCGAAGCGGAGGTTGACCGATTGATTCTCAAAGCAGACTGCGATTTTTCGAGCAGCGGTGAGCTCAAAATCGAGCGTGGTGGTGCCAGAGCCATGACTGGAGGAAAAGAGATTGAGTTCATGCAGCTGCGGTGCGACGGATGAGAGAAAGGACAGAGCATGTCTGTCGCAGTCGAAATCCTCGATTCTCAGACGCCTTAAAGCCCGAAGCCTTGCTGGATTCAGCTTGTCTAGTTTCCAGATGCCACAGCCTAGCTCCAGCAGCTCCAGCTGCTCAAACTCCCCCAGAAATGCCGGACGCATCAGCTGCTCCCTCTCCTGAAAACCCTTCCTGGGCCGGTACATGACCTCAATGGACAGGCTTGTGAGGGAGCGCGCAGAGGGCTGCAAGAGACGGTTGATGCACTGCATGTCCTGGTTTGTGTTGAGCATGAGATAAAGGGACGTGTGAGCCGCGTGCCGGAGGAAGTAGGAGAGCATTCCTGCCACCCAGGGGACTTTGGTGTTGAACAGCAGCGCCCGAAGCTCGAACTCCTGCTCGAGGGGCATGGACAGAGAGATGGCGTATAGATGGCGGAGAGATGGTAGAGAGATGGTAGAGAGACGGTTGAGAGATGGTAGAGAGATGGTAGAGAGATGGTAGAGGAGCAACTTTTGAGTCAACCCAAATTCCCCAAATGTTGAATAGAAACGTCATGGGTGGCAATAGGGATGAGCAAAATGGCGAACGGGCGTTCGGTTCGCCCGAACATGTTCGGGGGCGAACCGAACTTTCATCCCTTTTTGGGTAAAATGTTCGCGCGAACATGTTCGGGTTCGCCCGACGCTCATCCCTAGGTGGCAATCATGCGCACACAGAGATGGGTACAGAGATGGTAAAGGGTACAAAGATGGTAAAGGGTACAGGTACAGAGATGGTAAAGGGTACAGAGATGGTAAAGGGTATAGAGATGGTAAAGGGTACAGAGATGGTAAAGGGTACAGAGATGGTAAAGGGTACAGAGATGGTAAAGGGTACAGAGATGGTAAAGGGTACAGAGATGGTAAAGGGTACAGGTACAGAGATGGTAAAGGGTACAGAGATGGCAGAGGAGCCTAGCCATGACCGTACAGCTCAGCACCCCAGAGAGCAGAAATGACTATGCCAGTGAGATGAACGTACCCTAAACCCTACCCTGGCAACTCTGAATTGTTCGATGATGGAATGAGGGAAGCAGTGCGTGATGAGGTGACGACTCACGGAGAAGGAGACGACATGCTGGAGGAGCCTCTTGCTGGCCATGGCGTAGCGTAGCAGAGGCCAAGACGAGCCGAAGTGATCCATGGCCTTCGCATGCTGCTCTGAGAAGTCAGAAGGTGGAGTGGCTGTGGCTCCGGACTCCATGCTGCTAGTGGCAGTTCCCTGCAGCGATGCGAATGAGGACTTGGAGTGATGATCCCGTTCGTCCAGCAGGTGGCGGAAGATGATGTGCCAGATGTGGCCGGGCAGCAGATCAACCTCGTCCACCTGGCAGGTGAGGGAATTTTTGGTACGATGAGAAAGAGAGAGGGAGAGCGAGGATTAGCCCAATGCCGGAAGATGATGTGCCTGATGGGGGCGTCCAGCAAAGCAGGTCAACCACGTCCACGCTCTGGTGGATGGATGCGTAGGGATGTGGGTGAGTCACCACCGCACAGCAGGCGGTGGACACACGTCCTGTCCAGCAGATCAACCACGTCCACGCTCTGGTGGGTGGGTGCGGGGAGAAGTATTGCAGACGAGAGCTGGATTGTGAGAGTGGGAGGAGAGTGAGGGTGGCAGCAGCAGGAGGCGGAAGATGATGTGCCTAACGGGACGTGGCAGCGGATCAACCACGTCCACGCTCTGCTGGGTGGGGGGAAAAGAAGAGGTTACTTATTTTCAAGATAGGAAAAGAGAGAGAGAGAGAGAGAGAGAGAGAGAGAGAGAGAGAGAGAGAGAGAGAGAGAGAGAGAGAGAGAGAGAGAGAGAGAGAGAGAGAGAGAGAGAGAGAGAGAATGAGAGGTCAACCCTAAACTGAGAAGGATGCGGTGAGAAGGGAGGGAAATCCGCTGGGAACCACGGTGTGGCGCCTCACTGTCTGCGGCATCACTCTCACCTCGTGGTGCCGCTTCTCGGCATCACAGGGTGCTGTGAGATTGAGAGCATGATCATCTCCCGCAAGCACCGCATCTCCCGCAAGCACCGCATCTCCATGGCGTGCCATGATCAGCGCCAGCGACCACCCTCGATCACCTTAACCAGCCGAAAGCAGAGCCTGTTTTTTTGCGATGTGATCAGCGGCAACGACCACCCTCGATCACCCTCGATCACCCTCGACCACCCTCGACCACCCTCGACCACCCTCGACCACCCTCGACCACCCTCGACCACCCTCGATCAACCTAAACAGCCGAAAGCAGAGCCTGCTTTTTTGCGATGATCAGCGCCAACGACCGACGTGAGGCAAAAACACTGTCGTTCGAAATCGGGAGGTTTCTAGAAAGCACCGTCTGAAAAAAAAGTACGGCTCTACACAACAAATAACAGCTGGGTTTCTGTCGAGCAAAACTCTTACTATCTAGTGAAGGCGAGGGTTGTTAGGCTGGCTGCAAAAATAAATATGGTGGTGTTCCGTTGCCGCATCGCTTTATGCGGCAACGGACGCACAAGCTCGGCGCCATGAAGCTTCCAACCACTACATAATTCCACCGGTTCCACGACGTTTCGCCAAACACGAGCACACCAATTGCTGTAGTCCCAGTGGCCATTGTCGGGCCAAAGCAATTGCCGTATACTACGGAGATGTTGAGTTCGCTTCACTTGCCAGGTGTTTGTTGGAGAATCAAGTTTCTGCCGCCCCAGCCCTTAGCATACAAGGAGCATGTCATAATACTATATAGCTTATACATTTGTGTAGGCTATAGTGGGGTATCCCATAGGGGGTACAACCCAATTTGGGTTAGTACTTGTACTCACTCATTTCATAGTTCATTCATTCTCGTTTCAATCTTCACATGGTATCGAGCAGGTTCCCTCGTGGGAACTGTTCCTAACGCCCTACTACTGCTTCCGCTGCTACTCGATCTGTCGCACGCCCCGCGGCGTGCGACCTATGGCGCGCGGCGATTTTCTTTCTGGCGCGCGCCCCGAGGCGCGCGACCCCGCCTCTCTCGTCGCGGCCCCGCCCCTTGTCGCGGCCCCGCCCTACGTCGCGGCCCCGCCACTCGTCGCGGCCCCTGCCGCCCTTGTCGCGGCCCCGCCCTACGTCGCAGCCCCGCCCTACGTCGCGGCCCCGCCCCTTGTCGCGGCCCCGCCACCTCTCGTCGCGGCCCCGCCATCTCTCGTCGCGGCCCCGCCACTCTCGTCGCGGCCCCGCCACTCTCGTCGCGGCCCCGCCCTTCGTTGCGGCCCCTGCCGCCCTTCGTCGCGGCCCCTGCCACCCTTCGTCGCGGCCCCTGCCGCCATTCTCCACCGCGGCCCCGCCACCTCCCTTGCGGCCCCGCAGCCCTGCACTGACCCGGCCCCGCCTCTGCTGGCCCCGTCGCCTGCCCCTGCGGCCCTGGCTCCACCTCTCCCGGCCCCGGCGCCGCCTCTGCTGGCCCCGTCGCCGCTCCACCCGGCCCCGCCGCCGTCCCCAGGCGGCCCCGCCGTCACCATCGAGCCGCCGGCGCCGCCGAGCTAGTGCCGAGCCACCCGAGCCGCCCGAGCCGCCCGAGCCGCAGCGCCACCTCAGCCGCCCGAGCCGCCGGGTCGCCGAGCCGCCGAGCTGCAGTTGCTGCCGAGCAGCCGTACCGCCGAGCCGCCGAGCCGCCCGAGTCGCCCGAGTAGCCGAGCCGCCCGAGTCGCCCGAGCCTCAGTTGCTGCAGTGCCGCCGTGCCGCCGAGTCGCCGAGTCGCCGAGTCGTCGAGCCTCCTCTTCCCACCACTGGTGAGCCCCTGCCTTACTAGCGCGCTGCCTGCTGCTTGCTTGGCTGCCTGCCTTACTGCTGCTACTCCTGCTCCTGCTTCTACTGGCGGCGGCCAGATGCAGCTCCAGCGACGCCCACGCGCGTCTCTTACGCCCCAGCAGCTTCGTGAGTGGTACGCTCAGAGTAGAGGGTCTCTCAGTTCTGTTCGCTGCTCTTACGTGATTCGCACTGGTGCTCGGACTGGTCAGCCTTGTGGGACGCCTAGTCACACACCGTCCCGCTGCTTCGCCCGTCTGAGCGACGCTTGGCGTACCGAGTTTGGCGACGAGGCTGAGCTCCCCGACTGGGTGGAGTTGCTTAGGCAGAGGGTAGATATATTTGCTCTTGACTATGATGCAATTCTCACTGCCATGTATGCATTGCCTACTAGTGCTGACCGTGCCGGTCACCTATGCGTACCGCCTAACCCGCGTATAGAGCCTGCTGCTCTAGCTGCTGGTGCGGCTGCTGCTCTGGGTGCTAGTGTGTCTCCTGCTCCAGGTACAGGTGCGGCTGCTGCTCTAGGTGCTAGGGAGTCTGCTTCCTCAGGTGCGGGTGAATCTGCTCTCTCAGGTACCGCGTCGGGTCCGGCCTCTCACACCTTCACCCTTGACTCGGGGGCTTCCCGCTCCTTCTTTCGAGACTGCACCACACTCACGCCGCTTGGTCGGCCAGTTGCAGTCTCTCTAGCAGACCCCTCTGGGGGCCCTGTCCTTGCTCACTTCTCCACTGTCCTCCCGTGTCCGGCGGCCCCCTCTGGCAACCTGTCTGGTCTTTACCTCCCCTCGTTCTCTACGAACTTGGTGAGTGGTGCTGACCTGCAGGATGCGGGGTTTCACCAGTTCACTCCTGCGAATCAGCGGGTGACCCACTGCACAGACGCTCGGACAGGCCGACACCTGGCCACGTTTACTCGTCGGCCGGGATCGAGCCTGTACACACTGACCATTGCGTCTCCTCCAGTTGCTGAGCCGGGTAGGGTAGCTGCGTCGAGTCAGGTGTTTGCTGCAGCGTCTAGGTCTGGTCCTGAGTCTGCCCCCTGTTCGTGTCGTCTCCTGTCTCACGAGACTCTCCTCTGGCACCACCGCCTTGGTCACCCCTCTCTGCTTCGGCTCAGAGGCATGGCCTCTCGTCTTCTTGTTTCTGGTCTCCCCCGGTCCCTCCTCAGGGCCTTGGCCCTACCTGTGTCCCCTATGTCAAGGGGCGCCAGCGTGCTGCCCCTCACTCCTCCCAGTTTCCTCCGACAGAGGCCCCGTTGCAGACGCTTCACATGGACGTGTGGGGCCCAGCCCGCGTCCGTGGACAGGGTCACGAGCGCTACTTCCTGCTAGTTGTTGACGACTACTCGCGTTACACCGCAGTCTTCCCCTTGCGCAGCAAGGGTGATGTCACTGAGGTGCTGATCGACTGGATCCGCGCAGCTCGTCTCCAGCTCAGGCAGAGCTTTGGCTCGGACTTTCCTGTTCTGCGTCTGCACTCGGACAGAGGCGAAGTGTTTTCCTCTGGCCTTCTGAGAGCCTACTATCGCGCACGGGGCATCCGTCAGACCTTCACGCTTCCGGACTCTCCGCAACAAAATGGGATTGCTGAGCGCCGCATTGGCATGGTCATGGACGTCGCTCGTACGTCTATGATGCATGCGGCTGCCCCCCATTTTCTGTGGCCGTTTGCGGTCAGGTACGCGGCGCATCAAATCAACCTTCACACCAGGGTTTCAAGGCCGGAGACCTCCCCAGCCTTGCTGTGGACGGGGAAGGTTGGCGATGCGTCGGCGTTCAGGGTCTGGGGATCTCGCGCGTTTGTCCGCGACTTGTCTGCGGACAAGCTGTCCCCTCGTGCTGCTCCTTGCGTCTTCCTGGGGTTCCCCCCTGACGCGCCTGGGTGGCAGTTCTACCACCCCACCTCTCGCCGTGTTCTGTCCTCCCAGGACGTCACGTTTGACGAGTCGGTCCCCTTCTACCGCCTCTTCCCCTACCGCACTCCGTCCCTTACCCCGCCCCCGCTCTTCCTTGTACCAGGTCCCCCCCAGGTAGACTCCCTCCCCCCTCAGTGTCCTGCCCCTTCAGGTGTGTCCCAGGTAGACGCAGTCGAGCCTGTCGAGGTCACTGGTGACTCTGGTGCTGCTGAGGGTGCTGAGCCTGGGGGTGCTGAGCGTGGGGGTGCTGAGCCTGGGGGTGCTACGCCTGGGGGTGCTTTGCCTGGGGGTGCCGGGCCTGGGGGTGCTGAGTCTCGAGGTGCTCCGCCTGGAGGTTCTCCAGGTGCTTCGTCTCGCCGGGAGCCACTCTCTCCACAAGAGCTGCGCGAGTGGTTTGCCCGGCGCTGGAGCCGTGCTGCTGGTGCTGGAGGTTCTTCGGCTACTGGGGGTGCTGAGCCTAGGGGTGCTGAGCCTGGGGGTGCTGAGCCTGGGGGTGCTACGCCTGGGGGTGCTGAGCCTGGGGGTGCTGAGCCTGGGGGTGCTGAGCCTGGGGGTGCTGAGCCTGGAGGTGCTCCGCCTGGAGGTTCTCCGGGTGCTTCGTCTCGCCGGGAGCCACTCTCTCCACAGGAGCTGCGCGAGTGGTTTGCCCGGTGCTGGAGCCGTGCTGCTGGTGCTAGAGGTTCGTGGGCTACTGAGGGTGCTGCTGTCGCGGGTCCAGGAGGTGCTCGTCCTGGGAGTACTGGAGCTGCTGGGCCTGCAGGTTTGACTGGAGCTGGTTCTGTTGAGGGTGTTGGCGCTGAGACTACCACTAGCGATCCTGATGGGGGTGCTCCTGTTGCTGCTGGAGGTTCTGGAGCTCCTGGAGGTGCTGCTGGAGCGGGTGCTCCTGCTGGAGGTACTGGTGTTGTCCCTGCTGTTTCTGGCGTCGCCAAGCGGCCTCGACCTTACTTCGTTCCACTCCTGCAGCAGGTTTCTTGGTCTTCCACCTTCTACTGGTCCTCCTCCTCCCTTAGAGTGTCCACAGCCTGTCCCGTCACAGTTACAGTTGCAGCCTACCTCCCCTTTGCCTGCTCCTTCTCTCTACACTGGTCCTACTGGGGGTCTTGCTGAGCGTCGTGAGCCTGCGTCTCGCCCTACGTCGCCTGTCCGTGCTGCTCGCGCTAGTGGTCGTGGTTCGCGTCCGCGTCCTCCTCCTGTCCCTGGCACGCACAGGATGTCTCTGCGTCCGTCCACTGCTCCTCTGCGTGCCCCTTTGCCTTCACCTCCTGAGTCCTCTCTTCCTGCTCTTGCCGACCCGGAGTCGGACTCTCTTCGTGCTGCCAGTCCTACTGTCACGCGTCTCCTGGCTACTGTCGTCACTGAC